ATTTTGGCTTTCATTTTATTTATTTCAGAGAGGGAGTGCACAAGTTGGGGGGAGGGAGAGAGAGAATCCCAAACATGCCCCTTGCTCAGCACAGAGCCCAACGCAGGGCTCGATCCCACAACCCTGGGATCATGACCTGAGCCGAAATCAAGAGTCAGATGCTCAACCAGCTGAGCCACTTGGGTGCACCTTAAACTGAAATTACTAACAGTATCTTTTGTGTTAGGTAGGCCCAACCTCTTGGGTTATCATACCAAGGTTAAAAACCACTTTGACTAGAATCAGTTTACGAGTAGAAGAGAACTAATGTAAATGATCCTTCAAAGAAACTCACCCTTTATGGCTTAAGATGATGAAATGTATCAACTGAGGAGAAATCTGTGGGTAGTACTTAGGAAGAGAACCAACCTTATAATTACAGCTGTTACATGGGGTCATCAGAGGGTCCCCTTACAGCCCAGCGAGTACTGCTTGTGGCATGAAATGATGACAGCTCCAGAATATGTGGTCTTGTATTAAAGACAAAGACCCTCACGTTCTGGAGAAGGCTGTGGCGGTGTCTTACCTCCTACATTAACATGCAGATGGGTGTTCAGTGCCTATTTCTTGACTGAATAATTGATTGAATTTAGGATTAAAATTCTCTAATTTCTGAGGACATGATTTTTCTTTTTCTTTTTTTTTCTTTTTTTTCAATGTTTTTATTTATTTTTGGGACAGAGAGAGACAGAGCATGAACGGGGGAGGGGCAGAGAGAGAGGGAGACACAGAATCGGAAACAGGCTCCAGGCTCTGAGCCATCAGCCCAGAGCCTGACGCGGGGCTCGAACCCACGGACCGCGAGATCGTGACCTGGCTGAAGTCGGACGCTTAACCGACTGCGCCACCCAGGCGCCCCAGGACATGATTTTTCAAACTGGTAGTTTTCTATAATCTATTTTATCATTAGACCTCAAGAACCAATTTAATTATTGGTAAGTTATTCTTGTTTATGTAATTGATTTTTTAGCTTTTTTTTTTTTTAAGTTATTTTTGTCTGTGTAAATTATTTCTTAGCTGTTTTCGTGGTATTCAAACTTTGCCTGCACCAGAATCACCTGGAGAGCATGTTACAAAAGATTGCTGCCCCCTGTCCCCTGGAATTAGATTTAGGAGGCCTAGGGCAGGACCCCAAGAATTGGTAATTTAAAAAATATACATATTTATTTATTTTTTGAGAGAGAGTGAGAGAGAGAGAGAGAGAGAGAGAGGCAGGCGGGAGGGGCAGAGAGAGGAGGAGACCCAGAATCCGAAGCAGGCTCCAGGCTCCAAGCTGCCAGCACAGAGCCCAGTGTGGGGCTTGAGCTCATGAACCGTGAGATCATGACCTGAGCCGAAGTCGGACACTTAACCGACTGAGCCCCCCAGGCACCCCAAGAATTGGCAGTTTTAACAAATTCCCAGATGATGCTAAGGGTGGGAGTAACTGCCATCAGCATGTCCCACTGTTCAGAACATCTCATGTTCATTACTGCCACAATACTTGGCTCTAAATATATCTCATGAAGCTCATTCCTCCTGTATTAAACTCTTATGTGTAAGCAAATGAAACACAAGTAAAATCTTTCATTGTTCATCCCCTTGCACTGTAATGGGGACTTGGCCTCTTAGCTGGGTGGGTAGATGCTTTACATGCACTGAAAAAAGGACCAGAAGCTATGTTTTAAAATACAGCTATATCTGAGTGACAGGGTTGTCGATGATTTTTATTTTTATTTTATTTTATTTATGCTATTTTTTCTTAAGTTTTTTTTTACAATGCATGACTTGGGGAGGGTAGAGTCAGAAAAAATGTTTTTCAACTACTTTAGTATATTTGAAATAACTGATAATGGGATATTCATCCCTTACCTTAGATCAGGGCTTGGCAAACTTTTTCTGCAAAGAGTTAGATGTAAGTATTTTAGACCTTGGGGGCAACGTGGTCTCTGTGCTGCTACCCAGCTCTGCATTCAGACTGCGCAGGGAGCCACAGGCAGCACAGGAATGAATGAGTGTGGTACTGTTTCCATAAAATTTTATTTAGGGACATTGAAATTGGCACTTCATGTAATTTTCTCACATTGAGAAATATTTTTCTTTTGATTTTTTTCGGTCACTTAAACCCCCGAGAACCATTCTTAGTTTATGGGCCTACAGAAACAGGATGAAGTGCGTTTGGCCCATGGGCTACGGTTTGCTGTCGCTGCAAGATGATTATTTCCCTGAAAAGCGTGTTTCTGGGAAGTCATGACTGACCATTGTGATCACCTTGGAGTAGTATCTCTGTCTTATTAACTAGTGCGGGAGATTGGGTCTGGGGTTTTTTTTTTGCCAGTTATCTTTAGTATTTTCAGTCTTGAAAGAGAAAAATGATTTTTTTTTCTCCCCAGGATAATGATAAATGTTTTTTGATAGAGGAAACACTTCAGCCATTTCAGAAATGCAAGTGACTTTGCTCGGTTGTTTCACTTTTGATGGTGGGAGATACACAACTGAGAATGTTAAGTAATACTGTGAGCAGTATAAGGAAAAAAGAGCTTCCTTTTTGAGTCATTTAATTCTGATGCCATTTGGTTACTGGGTTTTAGACCCCAGCTGTCCTGGCTTTTCAGGCATGACCCTACAGAAATGCCCAGCAGCTGCCCGTACAGGGACCTGGCTCGGCCCGGAATCTGTAGCTCTGTCTGCCAGCACCAGCGAGGCCTCTGTCCTTCCTGCAGACTCACACTGTCATTTGTTGTGGTTTAAGGAAATGAGTGATGGCTGTCTCTTTGTTTTATTTTACTTTAATAATTTAAATGTATATGTAAAACATAGAAATGAAACACTAAAAATTATGTTAGGAATTTCTGCTTACTAGTTTTAGGGACATGCTTTGGAAAGCATGGGGTCCCCAGATGCCCTGCACCCAAGCCTGCAGGTTGTTCATTGCACACTCCAGGTACTCTCATAGCTGGTGGAGCGGGCTTTCTGCATGTAGGACCCAGGAAAACGTGGTTTTTACATTTATATCTGTCTCTGCAGCGGGTTCTTTTTACGCTCAAGTTTGGAAACTGCTGGTTAGGGGAATAAGAGAACACGCTAACAGGGTCAGTTGGTGGCCTTTCCAGCAGCGTTTTGTGTGGCTGTGTTGTTTCTCACACCCTGAGACAGGGCCTTTGACACATACTCTGAAAAGCACTCCTCACAATGCAGGATGCAGCGCAGGTAGGAAAAAAGCCCTCATTTCCCTCAAAACACAGCCTTTAAGAAAAGAAGAATGTTCTCGATGAAGTACATCTGTGTTGGCCTTTTAGGGTTGGTTTCTTTTAACCAGGTAGGTCTGTCCATGTTTACTTTCTAGCTCTTTAAGCCCTAAAGCCCAAGGATGTCAGAAAGAGAAGAGGTTTGTGTCTTTTATTCTTTTATTGTATTTCTACAAGAAGCATGTGATAACTTGGTGGTGCAAAGGATAATGATAAGTGGAGTTTGTGCTTTTACCTAGGGGGAACCCCTAACTTGAAATTACTGTGGCTGAACCAAGATGCAGGGATACAAGCCCGGCGCTTGGACGCGCTGCTAGGCTGCTTCGACCTCTCCTCCTCAAGAGAAGAGCTGCAGGCGGTGGAGAATCCCTTCAAAGCACTGTGCTGCCTCCTGACGTACCTCTTCGTGCAGGTAACCTGAGCTCCTCACCCTGGAGGCTGCAGTGGCTCCTCACTCCTGCCCTTGCCTTGTGGGAGGGTGGTGGCCTGGGGTGTGGCTACGGACTCTTTCCCGTGCCATTTTCCAGCATCTACCCCGTGAGCGCTAGCCCCCCGCGGTTCTCTAACTAAAACACGGGTTCCATGTTGGTACACACGTCAGAGGCCTGTCTGCTGTCGGACCTGGAGGCTTGCAATGCACGTGAGTTTAGTGGAGGCTGGGGAGACCTTGCAGGTGAGGGAACCTGCTTTCACTTTGCTTATGCTTTCCAAGCATTTTGACTCATGTGGTGCCTCCCCTGTGGCTGTCACTGTCTGCGAGGTGGCTCCCGTCCTGGGGTCCAGGGTTGTGGTGAGAAGGCCCAGGGCTGCTGGCAGCTTACTTCCACTGTCCAAGTCGCAGTCGCTCACTCCTCTCCAGATGTTTACTAAGCACTTCCCTATCCCAGTCTGGGACGAGGTATGGTTACTCCCTGGGGTTACTGGGGCATTGCACTGTGGGACACATGAAATGTGTTTTGTAGAAGGGCCCAATAAAGTGTCCACTAGGATCACTGTCGTCACAGTGTGTGTCCTCCTCGCCCAGATAAACCCGGGGTTGGAGGCCTCGAGTTAGGGTGCAGTGCTAGGTCTTGATTGGTGTTCCTCAACAAGTTGGACAGTTTGTTTCCTTAGTTTTACACTTAATGTGTGAGAATTATAAAGGCGCATGAAGGTATTTGCCTTTTTAAAAAAAATTTTTTTAAGGTTTATTTTTGAGACAAAGAGACATACAGCACAAGCGGAAGAGGAGCAGAGAGCAAGGGAGAGACAGAATCCAAAGCAGCTCCAGGCTCCTGAGCTGTCAGCACAGAGCCCGACACGGGGCTTGATCTCACAGACTGCAAGATCATGACCTGAACCGAAGTCGGGTGCTTCACGACTGAGCCACCCATGTGCCCCAGTGTTTGCCTTTTTAATAGTTGCCCAATGGGGCGCCTGGGTGGCGCAGTCGGTTAAGCGTCCGACTTCAGCCAGGTCACGATCTCGCGGTCCGTGAGTTCGAGCCCCGCGTCAGGCTCTGGGCTGATGGCTCGGAGCCTGGAGCCTGTTTCCGATTCTGTGTCTCCCTCTCTCTCTGCCCCTCCCCTGTTCATGCTCTGTCTCTCTCTGTCCCAAAAATAAAAAAAAAAAAAAAAAAAAAAAAAAAAAGAATAGTTGCCCAAGTGCAGGGTAATGTTTAGACACCTCAGTGAAGGAAGGACCGGATCACTCCCTCTCCCACTTCCCTTCCTTGTCTGTATTATTTTTAAATGACTTTTGTCTCACTTTTGTGGAGCAACAATAAAAAAAGGCCTTTGCAATCACTTCTCTATTTCTTTAGCCCACTTAGACCTCCCGTATTCTCAACCCCTTTGAGCCATCTTACCTTCTACTCTGGGCTCCGATGTGACAGATCTTGGGTCTCTTTCTTTGGCATAACCATCAGATTTTTACTTGGCTGGAGTAGAAAGTTACATGACTATTTCTCAAACCTGAATTCACTTTATGAATTATTGATTATCATTAAGAAACTTATTCTTGGGGCGCCTAGGTGGCTCAGTCGGTTGAGCGTCCGACTTTGGCTCAGGTCATGATCTCACAGTTCATGAGTTCGACCCCCGTGTCAGGCTCTGTGCTGACGGCTTGGAGCCTGGAGCCTGCTTTGCATTCTGTGTCTCCCTCTCTCTCTGCTCCTTCCCTGCCTCACACGTTGTCTCTCTCTCAAAAATAAATACAGATTAAAAAAATGAAAAAAAAAAAAAAAAAACTTACTCTTATCGTGGAATTACATTTCAAGGGCACGTTACACTGATTTTTCTTTTTCTTTTCTAAATTTTTCTTTTGTCTCTGCCAGTCTATAGCTAGTTCTGCATTTTGCATTTTGTAAAAATGTGGTATGGCTAAATAACTCACAGAGATTTTATTGCTTCATTACTGGGTTCACATGCACCAGTGTAAACTTTAGTTTTTGCATTACTGGTTTTTTTAAAGCTTTTTTTTTTTTTTAATGTGTATTTATTCATTTTGAGAGAAAGAGTGTGGGGATGACAAGCAGAGACAGAAGAAGAGAGGGAATCCCAAGCAGGCTCTGCACTGTCAGTGCAGAACCCAACATGGGACTTGATCTCACGAACTGTGAGATCATGACCTGAGCCAAAATCAAAGAGTTGGACCCTCAACCGACTGAGCCACCCAGGCACCCTGCATTACTGTTTTGAGTAGAAAGTTCCATTATTTGTACCAGACTTAGAAATATAAATGGCAGAAGATAGATTTTTTAAGTGTAAAACTGCTTTTCTTTTGATAGTATTTATTACATACACATGCATTTATCAGCTCACATTTTTGGCTGCGAGCGGGCCATAGTGGGGACTGGGAATGGTGGATAACCAAGAGCTATAGCTTCGCATCCAGAAACATTCGTGTGTTTTCTTCCTAATAACCGTGTGCATATGGACAGTAACTTGTGGGACACACAGTTTGAATTACTTTTTCAGCACAAGAGACGGGCTGTTGGACCCATTGACGGTCACTCATACAGCTCTGTGCTTGTCACTTGTGCAGGTGACTGTCAGTTATGAAAATCCATTTCCAGCAGAAAAAAGTCCAAACCACACAACAGTAGCTCTACATCTCATATATTTATATAAACCTGAAGCACATAAGCATCAGGAGGAAAATTTCCACTTTTATCTTTCTGGTGATACTAATAATTACCTTTAAATAAGAATACTTCTAGTGGGAGTCAGCGCGAGGTAGACATGTTGGCCTGACTTAAAGGGCACATTTAAATGAGGACTTTTTAAAACTGAAAAACAATGAATCAACACATCAGTGGCATCTCTGAGATGAAGGTACTAAAATGTATTCACAGGTTCATTATTTTCTTAGGTTTCATAAGGCTAAAAATATAAATTTATAAAAATACTATATTTTTATATGGTCAAGCTTAAGTTAAATGTTTTGATGTACGGTGGGTGGTAAAGAACCTATGGAGAAGCTAAGTGGTCTCATAACCTCCAAGTTAGCAACAACACTTCCTATTAAAAGTTTATCTGAGAAAATTCCCTGGAAGAGTAAGTTTACATCAGAGCAAGTGTACGTATTTTTTATAATTTATAGTAGAGCAGATGTTTTATAATAATGTCTGTTATGTGAAATTCTAAAAAAAACTTTGGTGTTATTAAGAATTTGGCACTCTCTGCTGTGGTTTAAGATTGGTTAACTACGAAGATGGTGGCAGAATATGAAATTAGCTAAGTGTGAAAACCATGACATATGAGATAGTTATTCTTTTCTCATAAGTAGGCATTTTACTCAAAACTTGCTAATGGCAAGAAGTAGAATTACATGCGAACAAACCCAGTCTAAACAGAAGAGAGGTGGGCGCTTATGGAATAGAAAAACAGTGTGTTCTTTGCTTGGTCTGGCTTCTGTAGATTGGAGCCTTTCTTCTTGGTCATGAGTACCACACATCTGTAGACTTTTGTGTTTTTCCTGAAATCATTATAGCTGTCATTTATACAAAGGCAACAACTTCTTCAGAATAAAAATGGAACAGGGCAGGGTAGTGACAGGGTTGCTGCCTTGCGTGGGGCAGAGGTGACGGATGCCAGAAGTATTTGCTTCTCCAGGAGAGCAGGGGGGAGCAGGAGTCCCCAGGGAACAGTCGTTCTGGTTTATGATGGGGTCATTTTGATTGGGAGTAAACATATTAGCCATTTTTATCATTGATAAAGAATCGAAATTCTTATCCATGAGTTTGTGGTTGTTTCCCTGATTTTTTCCCCTTCAAGCGTTTACTTGCCACAGAATGCATTCCCTTCCAGAAAGAAGGTCTTGTGTTCCTACGATGGCAGTGAGAACGCTGAGCAAGGCTTCGTGTAGTGCTTTTGTCTGGCTGGCAGAATTTGGTGGCTCAGCTGGCAAAGTCACTGCCCGTAACCCTGAGAGGAGATGGTGTCCGAGAGTAGCCTGCTGTCGTCATTCCCATCATTCACTTGAGATCCAGAATTTCCACATCCACTCTTTCTCCATACCCCTGCCCCCCTGTTTTCACTCACACTTTGGTTAGCCCCGATTCCACGCAAGACTGGAGGGGCTCAGATGTGGGGGTTGTGGTTTCCGTCAGACTGGGATCTGAGGACACAGGTTTCACCGGGGCTGGCAGGGGCGGAAGTTTATCCCAGCCTTGATCTCGCCAGCTCACACTACAGACCCCTGAACCGCCAGCCCTGGGAATTGGTGCCCAAAACAATCACCTGTGTTGCTCTAAGAGTCCAGCTTGGTTGTGGCTCATGCCCCTCCCGGGTATCCCAGAGATTTCTGCCTTGCTAGAGAGTGACCAGGCCTGGTCCATCTTGGCCCCGGATGTCATGGAGAGCTTTACACCAGGACTGTGGACTCCTGCTCACCTCTGCCTCTTCTGCTGCCCTGTGCAAGTGCCTGCATTTAGCCATTGAGCCCATGGCAGGGTCAGGTTTTTCCCAGAGCTGATGCTGGTTCTCTTTCTCTGTCCCTTTCAGGTGGACACGCTTTGCCTGGAGGATCTGCATGCTTTCATTGCTCAGGCCTTGTGCCTCCAAGGAAAACCAACTGTGCAGCTCGTAGACTTACAGGTACTGCATGACTGACCGATTGTCACAGTTCTGAAGACACCCTGCCTCACCACCCCTTTGTTCTGTTTAGTTTTGGTTGGTGTTTCACAGAAAAGATAAAAAGGCATATTTAGCCAAGATGTTTTCCTGGTGCAGTGGTGTGGTTCGTCTGTCCACAGCGGAGCCCTGAGTCCTGCTGGGTTAGTGAACTTCAAGCAGATCTCTGTACAAATGGCGTCCCGCATTTCTTGGAAGTGGCCATCCAGACCTGTGTCACAGCTGTGTCATGTGCTCACAAGTGCTGCCTCTTTCCAGCGCTGAGAAATTGACAGTTCTTAATCCTGTCTCAGTGTTGTAGTAATATGAAGACAGCAGTCTGATCCCTTATAAGTCTTGCTAACTTTAGGAGAACAGGATGCCTTTTTCTGGTATTAGTGACTTTGGTGCATACACACCTTGTCTCCCATACTTGGTGTCTGCTCTCTGGGGCTGGGCTACATCCCACCTGCCTTGTGTCCTCTCCCAGTGCCTTGCTTGTGAAGTGTTTAGTAAACAGTGTTGGTCACCGGAGGTTATTCAGACGCTGCCATTCACGAGTGTTTACTCCTTTAATTTCACAAACTAGTCCGTTTGCAGCTAACCCCGGCTACTCTCCTTTGTGGCCACACCCTGTTACGTCTGATGGTTATTTCTTAGAAGAAGCCCCAAGGTCAGGCCAGTTGTTTGTGGAAACTTAAGACTGTGCTTTGTAAATGCCATTGGATGATGATAATGAGTTTTATCCATAGTTTCTAGTTAATTGAATTAGTTTTCACTTGTCTTTCTAGTGAAAAAAAAAGCCTGATAAATTTCATTTATAAACAATATTTAATCTAATCTCAGAACTCTTATGTACTAGGTTTACTTCATAAACTAATTCTCATGGTGGTCCAATTAAATGAACAGGGCCGGGTTTTTTTTTTGTGTTTTCACTTTTACATCCATCATATTCAAGAAAGTTCATTTTAAATTTTTTTTTTTTTTTTTTTCAACGTTTATTTATTTTTGGGACATAGAGAGACAGAGCATGAACGGGGGAGGGGCAGAAAGAGAGGGAGACACAGAATCGGAAACAGGCTCCAGGCTCCGAGCCATCAGCCCAGAGCCTGACGCGGGGCTCGAACTCACGGACCGTGAGATTGTGACCTGGCTGAAGTCGGACGCTTAACCGACTGCGCCACCCAGGCGCCCCGAAAGTTCATTTTAAAAATGGACTTTTTTTTCCTCCTTTGGCAAGACGCCATTTTAAATAATGGGTTTGGGGTTATTAGTAGGTTAGTGCTAATTCTTTTTTTATTGAGGTATCATTGACATTATAGAAGTTTCAGGTGCTCAACATGATGATTCAATATTTGTGTACATTGTGGAATGATCGCCACAGTAAGTTTGGCTAGTATCTGTCACCACACATAGTTACAGAACATTTTTCTAGTGATGAGAACTTTCACGGTTTCCTCTCTTAGCAGCTCTCAGATCTGCGGCACAGCAGTATTAACTATGTACATCCTATGGCTTATTTATGTTACCACTGGAAGTCTTACCTTTTGGCCCCCTTCACCTATTTTGGTCACCCCAGGGTCACAGATATGAGTGAAATCATATGGTATTGTCTTTCTCTGACTTACTGCACTTGGCATGGTGCCCTCAGGGTCCATCCATGTTACCACAAATGGCACGATTTCTTTTTTTTTTCCTTTATGGTTGAATAATACAGTATTGCATTGTGTATATATACCATGTCTCTCTTTTTTTTAATCTGTTCATCAGTTGATAGACACTTAGGTTGTTTCCATATCTTGGCTGTTGTGAGTGAGAATGCTGTAGTGAACGTGGGGTGCACGTATCTCTTCAAGATAGTGACTTGACTTCCTTCAGATATTTCCACAGAAGTTGGATCGCTGGGTTGTGTGGTAGCTCTATTTCTAACTTCTGGAGGACCTCCACACTGTTTCTGACAGTGGCTGCACCAGTTTGTGTTCCCACCAGCAGTGCACAAGGGCTCCCGTTTCTCTACATGCTCGCCGACACTCATCTTTTGCCTTTTTGATGATGGCACTTCCAAACCAGTGTGGCAAATTAATTGACCATACATGCTTGGATTTACTTTTGAGCTTTTTATTCTGTTCCATTGATTGTTGTGTCTGTTTTCATGCTGATGCCATACTGTTTTGTTTCACGATAGCTTTGTAATACAGTTGGAAATCAGGGAGCGTGATGCCTTCGGCTTTGTTGTTTCTCAAGATTGCTTTGGCTATTTGGGTCTTTTGTGGTTCCATACACATTTTAGGATTGTTTGCCATATTTCTGTGAAAAATGCCACTGGAATGTTTTTGAGGTTGCACTGAATCTGTAGATTGCTTTGGATAATATGGGCATTTTAACAACACTTGTTTTCCCATCCACGAGCAGGGGTGGTCTTTCCTATTCTTTGTGCCGTCTGCAGTTTCTTTCATCAGTGTGTTACAGCTCTCAGTACAGGTCTTTCACCTTCCTGGTTAAATTTATGCCCAAGTATTTAATTCTTTTTGGTGCAGTTATAAATGGGATTATTCTCTTAATTTCTCTTGCTGCTATTTCATTCTTAGTATATAGAAATGCAACATATTTTGTGTATTGATATTGTATCCTACAGCCTTATTAATTCATGTATTAGTTCCAACCATTTGTTGGTAGAGTTTTAAGGGTTTTCTCCATGTAGTATCATGTCATCTGAAAATAGTGACAGTTTTACTTCTTCCTCCTAGTTTGGATGTCTTATTTCTTTTCCTTGCTCGATTGCTCTGGCTGGGACTTCCAGTACTGTGTTGAATAAAGGTGGTGAGAGTGCACATCTTTTTGTTGTTCCTGATCTTAGAGGAAAAGCTCTCAGCTTTTCACCATTAAGCATGATGTTAGCTCTTCGAGTTGAGTATGAACACCTGATCGCTGTTCCTCCTTTTGGCAAAACACAATTTTAAAAAGTAGATTTTCAGTTATTAGTAGGTTCATACAGTTCTTAATACCAAATTGGGGCCTTCCTCCCAGACTGCTGTCCTGCTACCACTGGCCTGTCTGTTCCTTGACCCTCATCTGCTTTCCTCTCCCCTCCCAGTGAAACTAAACAGGCAGGCAGAAGGAGAAAGGAACTTGGAGGTCATGCTCTCTCCTGCCTTGTTACGTGGATGCGGAAACTGAGGCAGTGTGGGCAGCAGAGTGAGCTGGAGTTTGGGGTCATGCTGATAAGGGTAGGTTTGGGTTCTGTCACTAACCAGCTGTGGGAACTCTAACGAGTTCTTATGAACATACCACAGAATACAACTCCTCTCTTGTGAACTGGAGGGGATGTCTTAACGCCGGCACCATGTGGGACGTTCTTTGACTTTGTCCACATCAAGTGCATCATCCTACACTTATCTTGTCATTGGCGGAGCCAAAGTGGAATCGGCTCTTGACAACCAACCAGTGGTCTTTTCTGAAAGAAAGGCGCTATCACCGGGAGTGAGGGACCGGAGGGAACGTGCGCCTTAGAGTTAGAGTGACTCCAGCGGGAGCTCACCTTGCTGTGCCCTCTCTCTCTGGCTCAGCACTTACTCTGCACTCAAGATTTGTGGCCTCTCCAGTCAGACCAGGTACCTTCCCCGTTGTCAGAGCTTCTCCAGCAAAAATGGGATCTGTGCCAGCTGTTATTGGCGTCGGTTCCCTGTTAGGACCGTAACCGGGTGGTGTGTATTCTCCTCACGCGAAGGGCCGCTCCCAGGGGCCACTAGAGCCCCTGTGGGAAGTGTCCCAAGGAGGATGGAGGTTTTTAACCAGCGGTGGGGACTGAAAATAGATGCAATTTCAGTGGCCTACCTTCTCATCAGCCCAGGGTCGTTCCCTCTTGGCTGTCTTGGTTGATTGGGTTGGTTGTGAGGGTGGGCAGGGCAGGGCCCCCCCAGGGCTTCACTCCGCTCCCACTGCCGAAGAGCGCCTTGTCTGGGTGGTCCAAACGTCTGTCTTCACCATGAACAGTGGACCCACGTGGCTGCAGGGCTGGGCATCCCTGCTCGCTGGTACTCATGGGCAATTTAAAAAGTGCCCTGTTAGGTTTGCACCCAGCAATATTTCTCTTGTCCCAACAGCTTGACTCTAGCTTTAAGGTGGTATATGGCTTTACATATTTATTAAAAATCCAGGGAGGTAGATTATATATGTGAAGGTTATATCCCATATTATAGATACATTCATTTACAGACGCAGAAGTCTGCGATCTATGACAAGGAGTCATCTGCAACAGTTACATAAAAAAAAAAGAAAAAGAAAGGGCTGCAGTGTTACTTCTAGTGAAGAAAAATGCAAAGACAGCTTGCCTTCCTCACGCACAAAGGGCAGTCCCACAGCTAACAGGAGACGCTGTCCTCGGTGCTGAGAACACATGCGAGGAGCCGGGCTTCCCAGCTGTAGCTGCGTCCTCTCTGAAAGCTGGCTGTGTGCTTGCTGCTCTTCCTGTCCGTGTTGATGACTGTGCATGCATGTGTTCACCTTACCGTTCTAGAGGACATGGTTGTCGTTGTACTTTGAATAGCTCAGGGGGGCCTTTGGTGCTTGGCTCGTACAGCCCATGTGAGAGCACACACAAAGGTGGGGTATGTATGGGATTAAGTTGGGATCTCTGCATACTTAGGAGGGAAAGTCAGCGAAGCAATGGACTGAATTACACAGTGATCAGATAACTTGTGAGGCCCCACTTTAAGGAGCTGTAGGTGGGGGGGGCGGATTGTTGGGGTTTTGCATCTGTGCAATTGAAGACGAGGTTGCCAAGGTAGAGGTGATAGTCGCGTGTCTTGAGGTGTCCCGCAGACACTTCTGTCAATGCCTCGCCACCCCTTGCCTGGCTCTAATAGCTGGGCCCCTGGTGTGTGACGGGGAGTTCTGGGCCTCCGGGAGCCCTGGTTCCTGATCCATTCTGTGCACACTGGCTTCTGATGTGGGCATGCATGTACTTGTCCAGAAATGTAGAAGGG